CTGTTTACTAACCAGCTTGACTGTGTTGTAGCATCTGCCATCACAGTGCAGAGCTGATCTCTCAAAGCAATTCAAACCTGGGTTAGCCTCCTCACCTTCCTGCCAGGTGTATGTGTACTTTCCCTTTCTGCTTTATTTCAAATTTGTAACGTGTTTTATAAGGCATGGGGTGCTTGTGTGAAAATCATGAATAATTGTCAGCCGTTAGCTGATCAGGAGCCTTGTAAGTGGGCTGGGTTTGTAAGCAGACTATAGAATTTTGCACGTTAGAAGCAGCATGACAAGAAGGGATTTTAAATGGCACAGGCAGCACAGTCATGTTGTCACCCAACCTAAGGATGATACATCCATCTGCTACAGGGTACTGTGGAAAAGCAGACTGAAAAAAATGCTTGGTTTAATCTAAAGCTGGCACTTGGGAAGCTCCAGACTCGATGCAGCCAACAGCTGGGAAGGAAGCAAAAACACACCATGGCCCAATTCCAGGAGAGTACGGGCTCACCAACCCAACACCCTGAATACTTTGGCATTTTATCTGTTTCAAACAGCTTAGTATTGCTCTGCATGTGAAAACTGCTAATTCATCAGGCAACAAGAAGTGTCTCCAATTAGGGAAAAATACAATGAAACCTGTTACATGAGTCTTGACTGTTCACCCAGAAACTAAGCTTGCTGTGTGGCTTTTAAATCTGCAGCTAACTCAGACTGCTTGTGTTCTCTTAAATCCACCCAAAAGAGCACTAGAAAAGAACAGAGTGGTTGTTGCTAAATTAGTGACTAATATTAGCTCCACTACATGAGGAATTACTGGGAGATATCCAGCACTAGTCTAGGCTGTGCCAATGGGAAGTCAAGAGTTCAAGTACGTACGTATCTTTCATAGCTGTCAGTCTTCTGCACAGTAAACTGCTCAGCTCTGGGGCAGAGCTCCAACTCTTTCAATAGTATGCCAGGGAACTGTGTTTCACATGGTAACTTGGGAAAAGGTGTTTTCCTGTGAACCTGTAGAACTCCAACTGCATTGTGCTGAGGTGCATGATCGACATCGCAGTTCCAGGGTGGCAGTTGTCTGCTTCAGTACCACTCCACAGTGTAAGGAAAAATGCAGCATGTGCAACAATAACTTCCATGGCTTTACCTACGCAGACATGTCACACACTTCACATGCCTTTGGCAGGACTGGCTGTTTATGCACTCTGGGACAAACTGTGTGTGGAAAAGCCTTTACAGCCTCACCTTTTGGGGAGCTTCATACTGGGATTGTATGTCATGCATGCTTCATACTGGGAGTGTATCTGGTTTGCTACTCCTCTTCTGTTGTACAGTAACTGCCCTGAAATACCTGGCCTGGGGAGGAGGGGTTTAAACCTGACTGACTGGCATTGTCCTGATGACAAAATCAGTTCACTTACAACTGTGGTGGTGCTGACTGCTTTTAGCTGAGCCAGAGGCTGCAGAGCTGCAGCACTGTGGATGCACAGGCCGCTCAGCAGGCACAGGGGACTGACACCCTGCTGCACGTGGCACAAGATGCATTTGTCACACAGCCATGTGAAAAGCAACATCAGGAGACAGATCAGTATTGAATCCCTCACCCTCCCTCTGCTCTGCATGTAGCTCTGCTCTGTGCCTGCTCTCCCAGCCAGCCATGACACAGCTTGGGAGGCACACGCTCTGGCCCCAGCCACCCCACTGGGGCCAGGCATTGAATGTTCTTGCTCCACGGCTTTCCAGCTTCCCTCCCCCTGCCTGCTGTCCAACACACAAACCAGATGTGCTTCTGGAGCTTTGCTGTCCATCTGACAGCACAACTGAGGTGGCCGATTGTTGCTCAAGTCAGAAATGTAGCTGCAGACCAGCCATCTATACAACACGCTTACCTCTTCAGCTCCTGAAGTGCCACAGATCAAGGCCAATGCAGAGCTGCTATGCTTCCCATTGGATTAGCACTAGCCTCATGCCTAGAAAGTCTCTGGGAATAACTACTTGACAAGCAGGGAGGAAGCCAACAGCCAAAGCCTTGGCCCTTCCCACAGGACCCAGATCTGATGTGCAGTCTTCTGATTTCAGATTAGCCTAGGGTCTTGAGAAATGTGCACAATGAAGCCCAAGTGATCATAAGGCCCTGAGGCACCTTTGAGTTGGAGAGGAGTAGGGAAGGATTAATTCTCCAAGGGCCAGAAGTAATGTGCAGTCCTGGCCGGTGACACTGAGAATAAGGCCAGAGCTGCAGTTTAGCCCCAGTGCTGGAGCTGTTAACTCACTGGATCAGGATGTGTGGAGCAGGGATACATGTCCTGACACCTAATTTTAATAATAGCTTGTAAGTGTCAGTGGTAATGTCATCTTTTTAACAGTGGGCCTGGAGATGATCTGGATGAGAGCATATTATGCCCTGTTAAAACAGCTAATCTGCATAGAACTTATGACAAGCCAGATCTTTTCAGGATTTCATAAACTGGCTGAATATTCATTTTTAAGGCACTGTCCAAATGGGTTTGGTCACAGATGACTACTCTAAGTCCACTCCAAAGTTGGCATATACACCAGGGAAATAACACAAGAATGGGAGGAAAAATGCAGCAACAAACCACCCCCTGTAAAAGCAACCAAATATTGCCTTCAGCCAAACCCCTCCCAGTTAATGTCAGCTATAATGGTGCCAAATTCCAGCAAAACATGTGCTGGTTTTTGGTTCAGTACTTACTGGCCACTTTTGTACAGGATCGGTGCAGGGCAGAGCAAAAAATCAGATTCTACTGTTTTAGGCCTTTCATCTGAAAAACAAAAATCACACGAGCTTACTATGCTGTGCAGCTTAGGTGAGGAGCTGCCACGTGAACGTGCCGTGAGCTCCCTCCATTCCCATGCTCCTTGCTAGTCTGTCCTGGCTGAAACTGGCAGCAAGGCAGGCCCAAGGTAAGGAACAGGGAGCCCCAGAGCCGGCTGTAAATGTCAGGTGAGCCCACGTTACAGTGCTTATTGAAGCTACTCGAGTCAGCTCATGCTCTTCCAGAGAGAACGCTGCCTAGAATCAACACCCTCTTTGTGGAGAGTGAGAACACTATTAGTAGTTTCCTGGTAGCTGGAAGATGAACGTTTGTTTCTAGTTGGCTCCACTCCTGTTGTTGCATTGCAGGACTGTTTTATTAGCTGTGACTTGAGTGTTTTTCTCCAGTGTTTCTTCTGCTTTTGAGTCTGTGTGATTGGCAAACCTCTTACACTTACAAAGCACCTATCTGTAGAGCACATGAAGCACTTATTTGTAGAGCCTTGTGTCCAGTACAGCATTTCTGTTCTTCAGATGTGAGGAGGGGAGGATGGAGCTTTTCTGCCTCATGTGTTTCGTAAGCTGGGGAAAATCCAGCTCCTGTGTGCAGAGCCATCAGCCTGAACTTCCCCACGGCAGGACTGATGATTTCTGTGCAAGGACTATTTCCTGACTGTGGGGTGAGAGCAGATAACTGATCTGCCAGATCAACTTGGAGATGGCTCTGTCCTGCATTTTAGGAACAGGCAGACAGACAAGCAGTTCAGGGGCAGCTGAAGGAGGAGCTGTTGGCATAAATGAGCTTTTCATATGTGCTATAATCTGCACTGACTGCTTGGCCTAGATTTGGGGCTAGTTGTGAGGTGGGGAAGAGGGATTAGCACATTGCCATATGTTTTTGTCTTAATGGTATGTTTCATAGATTATTTTTCTATCCCACAGCTCCATTTGGCAGGTTTCCTTTCTAGCATTTGGTAATGGTTCTTTATAAATGCAGAACGAGGAAGATGCCAAATGCATCCTTTAAAAGCAGGGGAGCTGACACAGTAAGGGTGTGCTCAGAGGCTGGTCCCAGAGAGAGCCCAGGCTCTCACTGAGGGCAGCTCCAACACCAGCAGATCCTTGCCCGAGTGCCCTCACATACTGAGGGTTCTGCAGAGGGCCAGTCTTACGCAGAGGAGACTGCAATGACATGAGAATGGCTGTCCTTCTCTTGAGACCATCTCCTTCCTCCTGCTACTGCTCCAAGTGCCCTCCCTGTCTTCCTGTTCATCCTGGCTCCACTGGACCCCTTTAGGCTTCCTCTGAACCAGGCATTCAGAATCCAGCACAGAGCTGTAGAGAATGACCTCATGTGCTGTGGGAAGGACCACCTGGAATGTCCCACTTGAAAAGTTCCTGCTTTCTTCCTGTACTGCTCCCCAGCAGCTTGCTGTTGTCCATTGCTGAAGACATGGACCAGGGGGATGTAGCAGGCCCTGGCAAGACCCCATAGAGCAGATTGTGTTTTTGTAATCAATACATCACTGTGCCATTCCCCTACCCTCATGTGCTTCAGCACACCCCTTTCTGAAGCCAAGAAAAAACAAGCAGCCCAGAGCTGTAGTTGGCAATTCTCACATCAGATGGTAGCAAGTGTTTGTGGGCAATGGGAAGCAGAGGTGACAATTGTAATGGAAACTGAAGGGGAATTTATACAAGCGAATTGACTTACACAGGCTGCCTGCATCCAGAACTACTGGGTTACCCTGTTATTCTGCCAAATTATTGTAGGTATTTAACAGGCAGGAGAAACTGGCAACCCACTCCATTATATACAATATCCAGGGTAAGGAAGAAAGTGCACTGGAAAAACAAATTCGATTGTGAAGGAATTTAAGACAGGCTAATATAGAAATCAGACAGTAGGCAGGGAAAAAATCAGTTGTAGATTTTCCTTCAACTTCTTTTTTGGTTTTTTTTTCCAGTCTAGCTGGCTTCTATGGAATTCTGTTCAGAGCTAGGGGTTTGATGTACGTATCCTAGCCATCCATTTGAGCTTTTGGATACAAAAAGCCAAGTCGCATATAAGCTAGAGGAAAGTGCCAGTACAAGGTGTGGTGGTCACCATCTGAAACAGAACTGCTTTGTGCTATGGCTGCAGCCAGCCCTGATGCTGGGCAGACAGAGCTCATGGACCATGACAAAATACACCACTGCTCTGACCTGGCCTTTCTCTGTGCTGCTGCAGGAGGAGGACTGACGAGCCCCTGAACCCCACAGCACCCCTGGCACACCACCCAGGACCGGCAGAGACCTTGCAAAAAACAAGGTTAAGTGCCTCTGGGAATTGCAATGAGATGTCTTGGCCAGGATTCACTGCAGAAAGGGACCTCAGTCAGTACACTGCAGCCACAGGTTGGTTCATCAGCAAACATCTGCTTGCCCAAACATCAGGAGCCAAACACTTCTCACCATGCTAATGCCCACAGTGAGGGGGCTGACGGCACAGCTGACGGCACCTGGTAGCAAATTGAAACCACTGAGCAGAGTGTGAAACAGCTTTCCTCCCTTTACTAATCCTCAGAGCTTTCCTGCTCTCCTCCTCTTGGCTATTTTTCTCTTTGAGTTGTTATGAGCTGAGGTAACTGCAGGACTACAGAGGCAGGAGATGGCAAATGCCAGCACTTACGGATTGTTGTTCCGTTCACTTGATAGGTACAGGTCACACTGTCGCTTCTCCCACCGAGGGTTAAGCCACTTCCTCTGAGAACAACCTGAAACTCCTCTGGAGGGGAAAGCAAACACACAAGATCACCAAACTGCAGTGCACTGCAGAAAGCTGCACTTAGACCAGGGCAACTTCACTTAGTCTGCAATAAACAAAGCACAACATAGTTAATGCTTCCAACTTAGTGAGATCTCCTTTTTCCTGAACCTTTGTACTGAATTCTCCTTATAAATTGGCAGAGGTACGATTTGTTCCCAAATCTCTATTGAGACAGCCCTCTGAAACCGGAAGTAGATTCAGGCTATCAGCATGATCTGGGGCTCAGCTGCACAGTAAGACACAGTTTCTTGGTGAATGAGAAATGAGAAATAGGGGACTCAGAACAACAAGAAGACTCCCCAAACCAGATCAGGCTCACTTGAGGTATCAGATGAAGAAAACATTTCTCCTTAGTACTATTTCTCTGCAAGTTGCCCAAGGGCCATGCTCTCTGTGAGCTGTGCAGAGAAGGAGTGAAGAGGTTTTTTACCAGGGCTGCTGACTTCATCCAGAGCATCCACGTTTTCACAAAAATATCCAAGTAATGTTTAGCAACTATTTTATTTTGATGGATCTCCAACTATGTGTGGATTATGAAGCTTAGAAAGAAGACAAGGCCTTAAAATTCTGTGCAGCTCTTCTATTTCATTAATATATTTCTGTTGCTGCCCAAAAATGCAGTCACGTGCTTTGTTCTTACACTCCACAGATTTTGGGGCAGATTTGACACAAGTGCAGAGCAGACTCATGGGAGAGGGGCAGATAAATGCTCTCCAACCTCCACCTGCATTACACAAGGTATGGAAGGAGGCCCTGGTGGACAGCTCCTCTGAGGAGAACAAGAAGGCAACACAGAAATCTCATGTTTCTTTAACTTGAGGACTTAAGTTAGAAATGCTTTATTCCTTTGCATAAAATAGGGGGAAATCACAGTCCTATAATAATGGAACAGAATATTAAAATTATAAAATCTTACCTCCTACACAGACACTGGATGGCTCCAAATATAAAATCTCAGTGCAGGATTGTTTCAAAACCTATTGCAAAGGAGGAAATAGTCACAAATAGGTTTCATAGCACTACTTCAATGAGCAATCTTAGTTTAAAACAAATGCTTTTCCATAGAACACACACAGAGCTACAGGTTTGGTTTGCTAAGTCTGACTTTGCAGGACACTGCCTGGAGCATGAGCAGCTCTTGCACACCTGCACAGTCAAGTCTAGCAGTGCCTAAGGCTTGGATTAGTTTGTTAAACCCTGGAGTACCTTTGAAATATAACAATGTCCAGATCCCTATCCTGATTTTCCATGCACCCCAATCCTAATGTTTAAGCCAAAAATGAATCACAAGGAGCCTGATCCAAAACCTAATCCAGTGAAAAGCGGTGTTTCAACAATGAAGCCTGGGCCAGCCAAGTGCACGTTATTGCTGGTGCTGGCACCTTGCCCTGCGTGGAGAGGCAGAGTGACAGCGGTGTTCCTGACTGCACTGCCTGCCCTTGGACAGGAATCTCACTTCAGCTCTCCCTGCTGTATGTGGTATTTTTAGCAGTCATTCCTAAACATTCTGTGGCATCAGTTCAGCTCCCTGCAATCACGTGCACAGCAGAGAGTCCTGTTACTGTCCCCTCTCTAGCTCCACTTGCCAGGTGTGTGCCTGCTGCTGAGCTGCCCTGACTTCCTAGGCATGTCCCTCTGTCTTACTCTCAACTGCCTTCCTCTCAGTAGGACTCCTTACACTCTATGCTGTTTCCCAGTGGTTTCTGTTGCTACATACCCAGGCCCAGCAGAAACAATCATGCGGGCACTGCTCTGACAAGAAGCACACCAAGCTCCAAGAAAGAGAGAAGCCTCGCTGAACACTTCCCGTGTTGCCACTCTCCCACAAACTGTTATGCACAAATTCATCTTTTAGTGCTTTAAAACCCATGTTAAAAATTAAGTGGTATTTTAAAAAATGGAGACGTGCATTTGAATGAGATGCAGCAACAGAGATCTTAGGAAAGAATGTAGCCCAGAGTTCACTGCAAGCCAAGCAGTTCACATTAGCTGAGGATCTTGCTTCCAAAAAAGGGCTTTAGCCTCTTGATTCCTATTGCAGTGTGGAGAGAAGTTATCCGTGGCTTGGCTGGGGGCTGGGGAATATTTTGTATAGCGTTTTATTCCTTTGCTGTAAAAGCGTGTTCAGTTGTTTTCACTGAAGAGTCAGATAAATAGCTCAAGTGAAGCTGAGACTAGATGCCAGTTTTATGTGAAGCACAGATTGAGCAGTTGGCACGGAATTCAGTAATTTTGTTTTTAGAGGGAGAACTTTCCAACCCCTGTCCTGGCCCCATTTGCCCAGTGTTTGAGGAAAGGTCACTGGTATGACCTGGAAGCTGGGGAGAGGGAAAGACAGTGTGGGACTTCCCTTGCAAATCAGTAGTTCTCTGGTTTCATTACATCCCAGGGTGAATTTTCTAACACTGTGCTTCCAAATGCAATATAAATCAGGAAAAAACCTACCTGGATATATTTAACTACCTTTGGATTTAGGAACAAACTGGGAGAGGCAGACATGACAACTCCAATGGAGCTGAAATACAGTGTAGCTAAAATGATGACAAATCACAAAGCAAATTTCAATGCAAGGGTCAGGATACACTGACTTCCTGCATGGAATCCATTTTCATGCTCTTGGCTAAAGCAGAAAATACCAGATGTTAATACTGCTCTAGAAATAACTGCTTCAACAATATTTTTTCATAATTTTTATCACTGCTGTCCTTTGCTTAGCTTAAGCAAGCTGTACTGTTTAGAGACCATCTCTTTGCAAGGTTGGCGGCCTAATTCTACCATTCCCCCCAGACAAATCTTCTATTGGGGTGTAAAAACCTCTGAGACTACTCAAATTTGGCTTTGTAAGTTTGTCAGATTGTTTGCTATCCTTCAAAAAGCCTCCTGATAGTCCACACTTGGGGGGGGGAAAGATAATGGTAATGTGCCTTGTCCCTAAAAACCCCTCCCCTCAAGAACTGAGTGGATTCAGGTGGAGCCCATCAGAAGCTCATAGATCCGGCTCTTTGCTTAACCTCTGCTGACTCTCTGGGCTCTCCTTAACACTCCCCCTAAGCAACTGAAACACTGCTCAGAACTGAGCTTCCCCAGAGTTAAACAGAAGCCATCACACTCTCTGCAGGTCCAAGCCCACCAGCTGTCCTGAGCACCAGCCCTGGGTAGGGTTTGGCTGACAAGGATTCTGCCACCACCATGGGAAACTGAGGATATTTTCAATACAGCGATTGCCACATGTGCTTTCATGTGTGGGGGAAATGAACGTATTTGCACATCTTAGGAGAAGGTACAGAAACTTAACACCTTTCATTGTTCCCATTCTTTTCTACCTGTTTCAATCTTTTCTCCCTTTCCACGCAAGCTATTCCTCCCAGTCAGCACAGTGCACTCCAGCACTTCAATAGAAAGTTTTTTTCCCTTGGGGAGAAATCATGTGAAGGTATTTTACCCATTTTCCTTATGATCCATGTGCATTATTTAACGTGCCTTGACACCCCTGTCCTTTAGAATTTAAAACTAACTTTAAACTATCCTGATGTGGAAATCTGGGCTGCAAAGTCAGCAAGACCAAAAAAAAACTCCACAAAAATCTATACAATGCTCCCTCTTTTCCAGTTCAGGATAATCCAAGACACTTAAAATTAATTATTTAGAAACCTACTGCCCACAAGAAAAGTTGAAATAATAACTTTATAAGGCCATCCTTGGATAGGATAGTTAAGCACTCTGCTGACATAAATTCAAATAAGACAAATTGCCTTATTTTAACAGCATGCAAGGAGAGATTCTGAGAATTGATGTCATCCACTTTGTCTCCAGAGGTCCTCTGCTCCCAGGCTCACAAAGGCTTTTCTCTCATTCCCTGCCCTCCCCCTCCTCCCAGGCCTGCCTTTACCAGAGAGAACCAATTTCCAACAACCCCAAGTGCAAAATAGAGTAGAAACCTGTCAGCCTTTGTCCTGCTGTCATGCAGCTTCAGCAGTGGAGAGCTGTGCTAAGACTGGAGGGTGTTCAGTGCCTCCTGAGGCGACCTGTGCAGTGTGGGAATGGTGCCAGCTGCAAGCCCAGTCTATCAAGTGAAGTGGCCACAGCTGTGACTCGTTAACAAAGGTGTGGCTGCTGGGACAGGAGAAGGCATCACAGTTCTGTTCTTGGACTGTACAAAAATGAGACATCCTCTTGTCCAACAGCAACACAACAGACTGCTGAGGAAATGATTCTGTAGCTTCTCCATGTTGAGGACTTGTTACATTGCTGCCACACTGCAGCAGCAGCCAAGGATCTTATGTTTTAAACCCTGGTGTTTTTTAGGGCCAGTTCTGAGAGCAGCCAGAACCAGTGGCACAAATGCAGCTTGTGCTCCACACTGATGGATGCATGCAGGGCAGCCTCCCACCACTCCTTCAGTAAAATCCCTTCTTACAGCTCCTGAGTGAACCCTGTGCAGTTCCTATGGCATCTCTCAGTAAAGCAAGTTGATCATTTCAGAACACTTCTGAGAGCACAAG